TTTTACATTTCACACAAGCTCGGTAGAAAGTTTGGCTATTTCGAGTGCTATTTTTAACCATCAAACATTTGTCACGCAAAGGACCAGTATGTGACATTGTTTAGCAATCTGAAGCTCAGCATTTTGGACCAAAGACAGAATCACAAGTATATGCTGAGTTGTCCAAACTGTTGCAGGCTAAATTTTCAAGACTTTCGGAGGTAGATGTGGATGCAGTTGAATATGCAGATGAAGTTGAACTTCAAAGAATTGTTACAGAAGTTACACAGATTGAAAACCTCTTAAATGGAAAATTCGAAAATGCTAACTGCCAGGAAAAAAGGCACATCACACATCGTACCTTAGAGGATGGCGTGCTGACCATTTCATATTGCTGCCCACATGGACATGGTGSTGTATGGAGTTCTTCCTCTTTATTTACCCAAAAACGAGGTCAAAATGTTTATGTGACAAGTGGCCTATTAAGTGCAGGTGTACTTATAACAGGAAATAACTTCGATAAGATCAGCTCGCTGTTCACATTCATGAATTGTAGTCTTGTTTCAAAAACAACCTTCAACCGCATCCAAACTTTGTATGCAATACCAGTAATTAGAGATCTCTGGAAAGCCATGAAAGAAAAAGTTGAATCTGTGTTTCAAGAAACTAGAAAGAGCTGAATTCTGTAATTATGATGTCTAGATTTTCTGTCACTTATAAAAGTTTAGTATAAAAGAGTTCCAAAACTTGTGAAATTTTTTTCACAGGTTTAATGACCTAAGCTATTGTTCAAATGTCCATTGCAACTTTGTAAATACAAGGAGGAACATTGCATAATTGCATAACTATAACTATTGATACTTTATAATAATAACTAGATTTGATTAGAAAAAACATTAAGTACTTAAAATCCAACAAATGTCAAGAAATATTAAGTAGTTTTTGCCTTTTAGATGAAGGCTGACTACTTTTTTTGGCTATGAACGCCTATAACCCATAAAAGCTTCTCCTGCCGCTCTGTATGAATTTCGAATTGTTCTGACGACGCAAGAGGGTAAGACTCGCCTGTTTCCCCTCCCTAACTTTCCATATTTCCACAAAACATATTGTCTGTATGCTGCTATTCTGTAGCTTGTCATAGAATAATCTGGTTCATCTGCTCTAATATCACATCGTACTCTTATGGCCAGTTCCAAAACTTCTCTGTCAATACAGATGTTGTGAAATCTCTGATAAGAAGTAACACAAGTAACTAATTTGCAGCATACATTTTCTTCAGTTGTGGGCATTACTTCGCAGACTGAGCATTTACACCAGGCGATACCACCAGTACCAGTGGGATTATTCTGTGGTGGATCTGGATCTGGATCTGGATCTGGTTCTCTGACATCTTCCAGTAAATTCCGTGCAAAGTCTAGGCTCCCACGACCCTGACTGAGGAGTCGCACTAATAAGTTATCCTTTTCGTCACTACTGAGTGGAGCAATAAATGCCTGGAAATAAAAACATAAATTATTTACACTCCTTGTTGCTAGAGTACAAACACTAATCACTAGTGTTCAAGTACTGAACGTGTATCAGTTAACTCTTATACAACAGGATTCAAAGTGCATAATAGGTACTGTGTTCAATAAATAATAATTAAATAAATAACTTGAGTCAAAATCTGTAGTACACTGGTGTTGTAATTTATCCAAGAACAACAACAAACTAACTCGGAGATTGGTAAGTAGGTATGCATGAACCGCATAAATGCAAATCGACAAAAGGAATATATCCAGTAGAAGTAATCTCTGACAAAAGTAAACACTTAAGCAATGAGAAAAGGTTTACAAAGGTTAATATATCCACAAAAATCCAGAAAATTGTCTCTGAACGGTTTTTAATTTGATAGGCGTCCAGACARCGCGACCTTACATATTCTTACCTCTATCTCTCGTTGTGCAGTTTCAACTGCTTGTTGGTGCCTTTCAAATGCACTAGGATTAGCATTAATATTCCCTTCCACAATTCTTTCTGCATGTTGTTCCCTGTTTTTGCAAGGCCTGCTTCTTGTTCCGCATTTACACTAGTTTGTACACGTTAGTCCATTGTTTTTGCACGGACAGCCTTCGAATCGCGCGGTTTTCGTTCGGCTGCATGTATTTTTACAAGAGCAAAACTATAATAAAGAAACATTATTTCTTCTACACAAGAGAAGAAAAACCAGTAAAAATTATAAATTTCACTCCTACTACACTGGTACTCACTTGACGAACTTG